CACGTTTTGGTTAAGTCCCTTACCCCACCATCATCAGGTGTCTATTGTTTGGCTGACAAGAGATAGTGATTTTCCAAGCGCAGCTTAGATGTTGCACATAAGCCGAAAGTGAGGATCGAACTCATTACTCAGTCGTAATTGTTCTAGCGAGACAAGCTCGGTAACCATTACACCTCTCTTTGGCTAAGGGATATCTATTGATTATTGGGCTATTTTGTCCACGTGATGCTAGTTATGCTTTCAGGAAGTGAACTCATGACTGATAGAGTACAGTAAAATATGCTTAACCAAGTGTCATATTCACTACGTCACAGAATGAAATCAGTGGCGTATTTCTGTAGCCTTTATATTCAGTATTAGATGATGTTGTCATGGCGGTTTGGTATCACTTTTTATATTAAATTCTGAGATGATTAACTGAGAATATATTTTAATCACATCTTGGTTATTACAAGTGTTGTTATAGACACAACGTTTCGACCGAAAAGCCGCTAGCCAACATCAGGTGACAATCGCTTTTAACTGATATGGTATATCTGTTGTTCATTGTGTTATTTACTTGATACTCCATATAAGCTCCAAATAAATAAAATATCTATGTATATGCGAATTCAGTATGCGAATTCCTAACTCACTTATGGCCAGAGTGGCAAATTCGCATTAGTGTGAAATAAGAGCAGACCCCACGCTGATTCGAGTCTGGCCTCATGCACGGTATCATAGCATATACTAATTTTAATTCACCATTTTTTTTCTTTTTGTCTTTGTTACAGGCGGGTACTGATAAGTTTTCGGCCCGATCTCCTTCCTAAATCTCAACAAGAGACCAAACATCAATTTTTCTAAACGCTTCTTCGTGAGAACAAGAATTGTTCACATTCTTTTCCCTTACACTGTTTGGAAATTCTCTCTACAGCTGCCGTTTCTGCCATTCCGTTTCATTTTGGTATTTCGTCATTTTCTTTTGTCCTACTGTACCTTCCAGTGACTCTCATTTCAGTTTGACAATTTCAACTGATCCTCGAGATATAATCTTGATTTTTGATCTCCTCTCTCTCAAACTTGAGCGGATTGGATTGCATCCCTGGAAGGGGAAAACATTCATTTCTATATGTGGCCAGATTCGGATTAACATCCTACAAAATACTGAGATTAAAATTTAAGCAAAACAAGATTAAGTGTCACACGTAGAAGAATAAGAATAGAAATGTGCTTTTTTTTATTTTCCGTTCCAAAACTCTACACAAAGATATGACTTACATATGTGCGGGAAACATAAGAGCTATCAGCGTCGAAAGAAGAATGGCTGATTCAAGTTCAAATTCCGACCTAGACTGTTGCTTTTCACTTTTGCATTAATGCCTTTCCGGGTACATAAGTGTGAATTCTTGGAAGGTAAATAGCAAGTGGGACTAGGTTCTCGTATCCTGGTTGGCAGTTACTCTAGTAAAAATATATATTTTAATTCAATGCCGCCATGATAACAACAGAAACCACTCCATTATTTCTCTCAATATAATACAAAATGGAATTTGTAGATAGACATGGCCGCTTACGACCCCTATTTTATTTATTATTATTAAAAATATATCTCTTGATATCTAGCATTGTAATTACGAAAATGTTTGCCTTAAAAGCGGTATATTCCAGAATTACCCTGTTCCTTTTCACATTGGCACATTACAATCTTTTTAGTTTTTTTTTTTTGATGGCCATGTTGGCCGAAAGTAGTCGAGGAATCTAAATAAATAATAATATAAACAAAAATAATATTAATTATTATTAACCCAGTGTGTCTGAAGATTTTAATTTTATAATATTTTATTTTTCAATTTATATATATATATATATATATATATATATATATGCAACTCTCTTGACCTAGGAAATCACTACCTCCTCAAGGAAGCTGATGTAGGCTTACGTTTTGAGTCGGAGGCCCTCACCAACAAATCAGGAAGATTTTTTTCTTATTAGAACGATCAGAGTGAGTTTTCCGAAGAGTTTTACCTTCGTAATTACCATTAGACTCAACCGAATCCTCTGCACTGTCCTCAGAATGCCATCAAAACACTCTGAAAGGGAGACTGTTCCCAACTTACCCGACTATATTGTGCAGTCGAAAATCACAAACATACAAAGCGCACGCGCGAAATTAAAGATTAAAATATGGCGGCAATTTCTCCTTTACCTATTATATATATATATATATATATATATATATATATATATATATATATATATAATTAAGTAACGAAAATCTTGCAAATCCTTACGGATAATCCAAAAGACGATGAAATTCTGAGAGCTCAATGATAAGTCAGAGCGAATAATTTAATTTAAATGAAAAAACAGACAACTTTAAGGCTATATTGTAATAAATTATTTCACCAGAGAATTTTATTTTTTCTCTGGATCTTCAGACCTCACTTTCAAAGGTGAAATGAAAAATAAATTTAAAATTTATATTTTGACGGGCAGTATTAAGCTTATATAAGTTGAATTAGAGGGTGATGAGGTATGGTGTGAGAGACATGTTCCAGTTTAGAGAGGGAAAGGAGAGTTTAAAATTTATCTTAATATTTCTTTTTATTACAATACGTAATATTGTAGATGGAGGGGGTAAGGGTCAGACATTGACCTATTTAATCGGTCAACTTAACGGAAATTATATATATATATATATATATATATATATATATATATATATATATATATATATATACGGACACATCCGACAGAAATAATCCCCACACATGCCTCCCAGAAATCAGTCAGTTAATACACGCTTGATACACGCTTAGGCGATCATGTAACTTTCGATACATTAGGCAGATATTTTCATGCAGCAGGTTGCCATTTCTTTCTGCGGTAGACCAGTTGCCGTCCAAGGCTATAGAACCTGGTTTGTTCTGTTATTTACACATAAGTTGGGGGTGGGGAGAAGAAGATTCATACCTTTCCCAAGGTCATTAGCACGTAAGTGAATAGAATTTCTTGGAATCAATCTAAGCCGCTATCCATTACTCCACCGTGCTTCCATAAATACCTCTCATGTAATGGTAAGACATTAGCTCGATCAAGTCATCGTTTCCAATAATGTCTCGCCATTATGTGGAAGTTATTTCTGGGAAATATATGTGGGAGCCATTTCTGCTGTTTAATTTATATCTATATATTAGTGAATATACATAATATTCAATGTCGATAGCGCAAGTCGGAGTTTCATGCAATCTTTTCTTATATCATACCCATAATTATCTATATATTTATCTAATTTTTCTTTCACAGCTATCTAACTAACCAACCCTCTCTCTCTCTCTCTCTCTCTATATATATATATATATATATATATATATATATATATATATATATATATATATATAAAATAGATATGATAAAAAAATCTTTAAATATTTAATATATCTATATATCTTTCTATCTGTCTATATATATGATATATATATTTTTCTTTTAAATCTATTTATCTATCACTCTCTCTCTCACTCTCTCTCTCTCTTTATATATATATATATATATATATATATATATATATATATATGAGAGAGAAAAAAAATATTTGATATATATTTTCTATATATATATATATATATATATATATATATATATACTTCTTCTTAGGCAGGAATAATTCATTCATATAATTTTATTAAAATCGATCAACATGGTCTTTTGGCTTACTTTTTTTTATCACTTTTCTCCAAATTCTGTATAAGTTAACGCATATCCGGATCAAATGTATGGAAAAAAAATTTTGAAGTTAATTTTTCTTCACGAGTACTTTCGAGCTACTCCAATCATTATCAGCAACGTTAATCCTATTAGTGCAACAGAAAAAAACAAATTAAATTTACATATGCGTGTTTCGTGTACAAGTAGCATAATTTAGGGAACATTTTTCTATTACTTTGTTAGAGTTGCATAAGTTGAAAGCAACTGAAAATGAATATTATTATTAGTTTGTAAGTTTACCCTTGCATTAAATATTTCTGTCTTCTCTAGTTCACTGCTTATGCTATTTATATAGAGTTTTGTACAGACTCTCATATCGATGGCGTGCATGTTGTCCCTCTCGTTTAGAAATGTCTAAACTATCAGCTATATAAAAATGTTTTGCACGGATTATTTTTGCAGGTCTTTCAATAAATCATTCGTCATCAAATCTTCTAGACTGGCGCTACCGAATCACGAAGATCTTTATCAAATAACTTTAACCACTTCTCTTGAAGTCTTCCAACAGAGGCGAGAACTAAAAATGCATAGCAGATGGAAGTAGACGTGAAATAATGATATAACTAATACGTTCCACACATCATTAAGTACAATGTTAGGAAGGAAAGAGTCATCAATATTAGAAAGAGCGATAACTGTTGATTTGAGAAGCTTATTGCCATGCAAAACAGTTTTAAACGAAAGAATTTAAAAATTTCAAACTACAGTAACACTAACCGTTCAGCGAATTAATGTTGATTAATTACTATATTGGAAAAGGCTAAACTGGCTATTACCTTTACCATGGAATATGGCAGTCATTATTGGATTGACTGATTTGTTTTTTACGGCTTATCAACCTTTTCAGTTCATTTAAAGCAAAAAAATATTTTTATATTTATTTTGACTTAATAATGATTTAGTGGTAGACGTTTTACTAATTAAGCTATAACAGGGGGTAAGAGGAGGGTTCATTCTTTTCCCAAAGGTATTTACGTGTATGGGACGGTGGAGTAATGGATAGCGGCTCGGATTGAGGAATCGGAGAGCCGAGTTCGAATTTCAGTCGAATCCATTACATTAACTTATGTGCCTTGGGAAAGGTATGAATCCTCTTCTCTCCAAACTGGCCTACTGTAGAAAGAAATGGCAGGAAAATAATCTGCCTCGTCAGTCATATATCGAAAGATACATGATCGCCTAAGCGTGTATCACGCATGGCACATAACTGACTGACACCAACTGCATATCGAAGCTTGCAAACACCTGGTATCCACCCATCTAGATACTGATCAGGCTCAACGTTGCTTAATTTCGGTGATCGTACGGGAACCGACAGTTTCAACGTGATATGGCCGTATATGACAGGTATCATCCACTATGTGTTACTGGATTATGGTAGAAAAACAATATTTAGCGGGAACAGATGAAGTGTAAATGATGCATTGCCGCAGAAATGTGCAGCCATGTTGAACAGAATGTTATGTCATACTTTGTCATGACAATACAAAGCTTTATGGAATAAATCATCCCAAGGATAAAATAGGATGGGATGTTTTTATTTTACGTATTCGCCATGCTCACTGAACCTCGACCCTTTGGATTATCAATTATTAAGATCATTAATGTCCTGAGAACTGTTTTTGAGTACTATGGCAATGCATAAATAAGAAAACATGACAATTCAGAAGTCTTCCTATTCTTTTCATTAAATATTAGGCGAGGAAAATAAATAATGCCTTTACGTTAATTAATCTGTATACATATGCTATGTAAAAACAAAACAACTTTATTTTAGACTACTGTAATAGAATTTAATTTGTTATTCGAATTTCGTTGGTATATCTCATTGAATTTGCCATAAAAATACATGTAAATATTGCCAAATTAATAAACAAATAATATACGTGAACATAAAAAGAACTTGAAATTAAACAATACCTTCAATTCACTTGTATGCCACAGAAAATTCGTAATAACAATTTTGACCTGAAAAATATTCCTACCCAGACGAATGTTAATGGTAATATTTTCTTATAAAGAAACATTCGACATTTTTTGACCCAGCAATTAGTGCCACTGTTGGATAAAATTTATAAAAAAAAAATTTAAAAAATTCAATTTCTCACGGAAACAGAATTCTCATGTCCAGTAGCTGTTATGGCTCTTTCCATTATCATTTTCTTTTATCATTTCACTCAAAGCAAGGCAATAAAGCGATTAGGATGCAAGACGTTAATGAGTGTTAGAGAATATGAAAAAAATATAGTATTAATGAGAGAAGACAATAAAATAATAATAATATTGTGACAAAGTAAATGGTTAAAGAAATAACAGCACAAGTACGACAGAAGGGTATTACACGACTAGTGAGTGTGTGTCAGATGACCAGCTTTCAAACTATTCGACTGTTCCCCCAAGGCCTTCTCTCCTACTAATCTTATAGTAGCCTGAAGAGTCCAGCATAGACTTTTTAGAGGGAGGGTACCACAACAAATAGGAAGGAAGATAATGATTGACATTGCATTTAAGAATTTGGAAAATCAAAGTTGACTGGGAAGCAAGAAGCCGGAAGAGAGTTGGAAAGCGAGAAGTGCGATAGAAGAAACTGATAGCATAGAACTTACGGTTACACCAACCCAATTCAACTGTAAATTGATGAGAACTTTCCATCAATCTTGAACAGCTCTTAAATTAAAAAATTCTAGGTACCATTGCGGAAAGTTCAGCAAATCAATTACAAGGAAAGTATTTATCTAAAAGTCACTGGGAAGGTATTTTACAGCGGTGGGAAAGAGGGCTGAAGCCGAGATGCCATGTCAGGACCGATAATATTGCAGATTCTTTTTGGATCTAATCAAGAATCTCTAAATATACACCAGAGGATCAGATCAGATGTGGCAGCAATATTCAAAGCAAGAACGAATTGGGGACTTACAAATATGTAAGATTGACTCTAGCGAAAAATATTGTCTAAGACGACAAGTGAAGCAAATTTTCTTAGCTGCAGACTTAGCAATTGATTCCAACCTTTTATTGGTTAAGTAGTATGGAACATTATCTTGGTATTGTCATTTTTTTTCTCTTTGAACTACATGTGCTATCAATTTTATTTGTTGCTCATGTTGAATGTCCTCAAGTGATGTGGCTTCTGTTATCTTGTAAAGGTATTTGTTTTTTATTGTGTAGTGCCAGTCCACGAGGTTCAAAGAAGTATGGTCTTTGGTAAAAACAAAAAAAAGGACTATTATCTATGAGTATTCGTGATTAATATATGACCGGAATATTTCAATCTAAGGCTCGTTTCTTACTAAATTAGAAGTGAAATAAATGTGTGATATTTAAACAGTTAATAAAGTTGGGATCATTTGAAATCTAAACGATCCTAGTATCAGGGACCACTAATTTGTTTACGAGTTAGTTTGTTTCAAAGATCGTTACCACCACCTCCAAGACAATCGGAGAAATAATTAGGAAGAAAAATAAATCTATTCAAATGCCGGGATCTATTAAATAAATTGTTTACAACCACAAACTGTTTATGTGGGAAAAACATCACGTGATCTAAAAGCCAGCATCTACGAACAAAAGAGAGACTTGCGTTTGGACAATCAATCTAACTCTCTTTTTGTATCGAAACGATGCTGGATATAACTTCAAATTCGCTATGCCACCCTAATTAAAGAAAAAAGAACATAATACTGTAATGAGAAGATACATTGAAAATTTAATAATAACCTTATTACCAACTAGAACCACACACCTAGAACATTATATAAAATCGCCATCAGTCTTTGCATCCATTTTTAAAGGATCTAAATTATATCTATCTAATACAAAGAATACATAAGAGGTGCCCATAAAAGAAGAACACTGTGACTCCCCGCTGTGATAATTCTCATTATAGGGTACAGGTTCGATACCTGTCGGAGGAAGAATATTTTCTATGAGAATTTCTCGAACATTCAGGCCGGTAAATGTTATTAATACTGCTTATTATAAATAGGGCATTTACTTAAATATTTGTATCTATAAAAAGAATGCATTTACTTAAATATTTGTATCTATAAAAAATGTATAAACATGAAAATGTCTTTATATATATATATATATATATATATATATATATATATAGAGAGAGAGAGAGAGAGATAGAGATAGAGAGAGAGACTTGAATCGATATATTTTATATCTAAGCTTGATATAGATGTGCGGGTAGAAAAATCTTATCATAAAGGTAAGTGGAATCGGAAAGCGGAGGTCAAATCCCGTTGCCTTCTTTTTAAAAAATACATCTCCTCTCTCGAAAGTTACAGTCTTACTAGCATTTTAGACGTGTTTATGTAGCCGTGGTTGCCAGCTTATCTAGGAGAAATCTATCTCTGAATTCGAAACCGTGATGAAGGCAACAGTAATCCACTTCATTCTATTTAACAACAAAGCAAAGCAATTCGCAGATAAGACAGAATAGAATCCATGATCGCATATGTCTTAAGGGTACATGGCAGCCTAAAAAGAAAGGAGAACTCTCGTGGACTGGCGCTAGGAAATCTCAAACAAATAACTGTACTATATAACAGAAATCAGATCACTTTAAAAGCAGTAACAAATTAAATAGATGACATGTAACTCGAAGAGAAAATAAGGACAAACCCAGGATGCTGAAGTTCCAACAAATGGAAGCCCGCAGCAACACTGAATAGTGTGATCTGTTAGTGGGCTTGAGAAACGTATCTTCCTGAAAAAGTGTTTTAATAAAAAAGATTTTATAGATTTCAACCGATGGTAAAACTGGCTGATCGATCAATGAATACCGAATTTTTACATAGAAAGTAACCGTTAATATTACCTGATGAATTCTTTTTCTATATTTTATTTACCTAATTTATTTATTTAAACATAAGTACATTTGATAGTTTATGATATATATATATATATATATATATATATATATATATATATATATATATATATATATAGATAGATAGATAGATAGATAGATTATATATATATTATATATATATATATATAGATTGTATATATATATATAGATTATATATATATAGATTATATATATATAGATTGTATATATGTGTGTGTGTGTGTGTGTGTAGATAGAAATATAATGTCTGATGAAGCTTCATGGGCCTAGTAGGCCGGAAGATGAATAAAGACGAGACAGGAAAGCGGAAAAAGTACTGGACCGGAATATCAAACTCTAGTCCTACGGTCTTTCCGTCAAAGAGGCGGTTCACCAAGCGAGTGGCTGTCCTGTTTATCTCCCGACGTCTCCTTACATTACACGTGACTCATAAAAAATAAAAAAAAATAACATTAATAATATTTAAAAAAATGTTTTAACTTATCTTTAGTCTTAGAATATTTTACGCATTTGACCTTGTTTTGCGTTCACTTTCGCACAATTATCCATACGTTCCACCCCCTATTGGGGGTTATGAGGAGGGCAGGCAATTTTGGTTAGTAATCAGTAAGGCAACTCTGAATATAAAACCAGTTGGGTGTGTGGTTGGCAACTACAACTCGTAAAAATATACACTTGAGTTTTAAGATAGACGTTTTGGTTAGACTCATACATGTACCTTTCAGAAAATGTGTAAATAATAATAATAATAATAATTCAGATGGTATGTGGAGGCATCGGAGAGATTGGAATTAGTTCTAATAGACTCATTGAATGGATTCCTGGTAACCAATGCCGTGAAGAAATAAAAAAAAATATTATACACACAAGTACAACTCACACCTCCGTCTTTGCATGGAATATTGCTGTCATATGTAGTCTGGTGCCCCTGATGTAAGTCTCGACGTCCTCGATAAAATCCAGAGATGGATATGCAATGTGATAGGTGACATCTAGTCTGCAGTCGTTTTCTCACAGACGTGCCGTGTCTTCCCTCTGTGTTTTCTATAAGTATTTTCACGGCAATCGTTCCGACGAGTTGCTTTCTCTAGTTCCTAGCCTGCAAGAATTTAAGCGAGCTACTAGGTTGGCATATCGGTCCCACCACTTCACTGTCGAAACGGTTAAATGTCTCTTCTACTCAAACAGATTCTTCTCTCGCACTTCCCGTCTGTGGAATTCTCTTCTTCTTACTTGCCACCCTGATAAATATAATCTTCAAATAATCAAGTGTAATGTCAATCTAGATCATCTGATACCTTGATCTTGTTCCCCGTCCTTCTCTTTATCCTCTCCCCAAACATGCCTCTTTACTCTTGTTCTCTACACTCTGTAACCCCTTGCGTGCTAGGGACACACCCGCCTTGTTTGGGGTGAAATGTTTAAAAGAAAATAAAATATTACGAAGAACTCTTAGGGTCACTTTTTTCAAAAATGTT